CCGGTTCCTCTCTTCCACGACTTCTTTGGATCCGGTTTGCGTCGGGTGAAATGTGAAATACCCTATTCCACTGTGGCTCCGCGCCGAACGCCGGTGCGCAGGAGGATGATTATCGGCTCACGACTCTACTCACGATATGCAATGAGTTTCCTATATGTTTAAAATAGCTCAATTAAGACGCGACCCGTATACTCACTTGCCAGGCCGACAGTGACGAGGATGAACACGGCCTCGCAGGACAGTTTGAGGACCAGGGGGAGGATGATGTTGCCGCAGAGCGACCCCATGCGGCCCGAGATGAGCTGCATGCTCACGGCCACGCTGCGGAGCGAGGTGGGGAACAGGTCCACGCCCGTGGCCGACAGCGCCGTCAGCCCGATGGCGGTGAAGGGCGTGAAGGCGGACAGCAGGACGGTGAAGATGTCCGAGTCGGGCGCCCAGAGCAGGCCGAGGGCCGCGACCAGCGCCAGCGGGAAGCTCCACACTGCGGGGAGGAGAGGAGGAGGTGAGTCGGAGCAGCGCCGCAGCCAGCGCGGGGCGCGGACACGATGGGCGGCCCACCCGCCGGGCGCGGGGCGAGGCACGAGGTACTCAGTACTCACGCAGCAGCGGCCTGTTGCCCCACAGCTTGGAGGCCCAGCCGCTGACGAGGAACGAGCTGGTGCCGACCACGCCGATCACCACGGACCGCAGGTAGACGTCCGCGCTGACGGGGATGTCGACGCAGGCGGCCGTCGCGTTGAGGCCGGCGGCGCTGGCCGCGGCCGCCTCCAGGTCGGACTGGCTGCCCTGGTGGTCGATCGAGGCCGAGATCATCTGGCACGCCGTGCTGGCCGCCGGCTTGTCCTCCCAGACGCCCGTCTCGTACTGCTCCATGTAGGCGAACAGCTGCGGCGTCCACAGGCGGAGCGAGTTGATGCTAAAACGGAAAAATTAGCCGTTTAGTTCACATCGTTTCTGACGTTCCCACGAACGCGCGAGGGCACATTGCCACCCGTGTTTGTTTCCAAAATATTGGAACGCCTTCCCTACTCACCATATCATGAGGCTGACTTGGATGCAGACCACGGTGGCTATCCTAGAGAGGTATGGTTTGTGGAAGAGCGGTGAGAACTGCCGCCAGGCGCGCCGCAGGCCACCCTCCTCCGAGCCGTCTAACTGCACGTGCTTGCTGGGGACGCAGATGTCCAGGGACTTGATCTAAACCGAACGGAACCGGTCAGTGCCGCTCACGCAGGATTACCGGGACGACGTCAGGAGAGGCTCCTCACCGGGTACGTGTCGGGGTCCTGGCCCGTGTTGGTGGCGTAGATGCCACGGAAGATCCGCAGCGCCTCCTCCTGCTTGCCCTGGCTCATGAGGAACTTGGGGGATTCGGGCAGGCGCAGGCACCACAGCCCGGCCCAGAGCGAGGGCAGGGCGCACACGAGCAGGAACAGGCGCCACGAGGTCAGGTCCATGGCGCCCTCGATCATCGGCACCCGCAGGTCGAGCGGCAGCAGCGCGAACGCGAGCACCGGCTGCACGATCTGCGCCACCGCGAAGCACATGCCCGTCATCATGATGGCCATGCTGCGGTGCTTGTCGTCGTGCGTCTCGGCCAGGTACGCGTACAGCACGGAGTTGGGCCCCGCGATACTGCGTGGGCACAGCAATCGGTGCAATGAGGTATTTTATCAGAGTGAAGAAAAGAAGACCGCAGGAAGAACAATGCCACAAGCCTTTAATTGTATCCCGAAAATCGTCAGTAAAGACAATTGAAAAGCAGTCAATTTCCTAAAATCCGTTGAAGGCTTGTGAGGATCCGGTATGTTCTTCCTGATCGTCTTTATACTACTATGAAGTGAAGAACCTTTTAAATTATGACATGATTCAATGAATATGTGCTAAACAAACGGCCACGCACGAGAACTTACACGACGCCGGCGAGGATCTTGAGTACGAGCATCTGCCAGTAAGAGTTGGCGAAGGCACACGCCAAGCTCACGATGAAGTCCACGAGGAAGCACATCGCCAAGATCATCTTACGACCGAACATGTCCGCCATCCCACCCCACAGCAGACCAGAAACGATATTGCCTGCAAGACGATGGAAACAATCGATCTACTAACATACTATCAATCAGTATGACATGATCCTACCACCAATTTATCATTATGAAGTCACATATTCACTCATACAACACAACCATTAATTAAAGTGTCCATTTCTGCTCACCTAGGTAGGTGGCTCCGTTGAGGGTCCCCTTTTGGTAGTCCTCCAGCTCCAGGTCGCAGCCCGCCACGGGCAGCACGAAGGCAGTGGAGCCGGAGCTGAACAGCTGGGAGCAGCAGAAGGGGATGAGGGCAGCCATGAGCAGGTAGTGGAACTTGCCGAACCCTGAGACGGGAGGAAGCCGTTGCAGTGGGTCGACTCACAGACTCCATACGGTTACGGTACATCAACAACACTTTTCAGCAACAAGACACTCACCGCACGCGATGATGGCCGTCTCATAATTGGCGGGCGCATCTCGGTCCTTTTTCTCTGGAATCACGAATGGAAAACTATGAGACGATCGTTAGCCATCCCTCGGCTCTCCTGCCGGCACGGCAGTGGGAAACTTACCGATACTCAGAGTCCCGAACCAACAACTCCTCCCCTCCTCCTCCCACGACTCGGAGAGGAGGGCCAGGCGCTCCATGTCCAGCTCGCGCCTCAGCAAGTGCTCGCGCCTTAGCAGCTGCTCGCGCCTCAGCAGGTGCTCCTCACACGTCACCATTGCGAATCCAATGCGCCATTCGGGAGGGTGGACCGCAGACGGCACTACATGGCCGGCGCGCGGGGACCGCTCGTCTCAAACTGGCTCTCGGTGCGTGACCGGGGCAGGGAGCGTACCCTACCATCCCCTCCGCCCCGCACCACCCCTCCTGCCCCCTCATATCGCACGGTCCGATCTCTTCCCGATGACTCCACGATGTGCGGAGCCAGAGTATGTCAAGCCTTGCTCGCCGTTATCGTCCATGCAGGGGTTCAGCGACGTCATACCGCGGGGCTGAGGCACATGGCCGAGCCAGGCCGAGCCCTGGTCTCACCAGACCGGGCATCGCCCGCACCGTGTCGTACGGGGTGGGGTACCGGTGGTGCTGGCGGCGGCGGGGGCGGTAGCCAGCCGTGCAGCGGTAAGCGGTGGCGAGCTCAGCGGCGAGAGAGGCTGTGGCAGTCCCTCGGCAAAGCGGCACTTCAACTTAAAAACATCAAAAAGGGTAATTGGGATGGCTTGTTCAACTGAACGGAGCCACCCATTACTTGGGTGACACCGTCTACCCCTCAGGCCGTGTCCGGGCCATCCCCTGTGGTAGGCTAGTGCTAGTGCCATCCCGTCCGTGGGTTCGTAGCACCCGAGCTAAACGGCAGCACCCCCGGCTGAGCCCCCCCCCCCCCTCCCCAAACCCAAACAGCCCCTCTCCGGCTCAGCATCCTCCCAGTCGCACGCCGTGCACACTCCCTGCACGTGTGCCCGAGCGCGTTCGGGTGGCAGAAAGCTGCAGGCAGAGCGGACGAACTTATTTGTCGAGATAAGGAAGGTTTAAAGAGAGAGGGCGGTCGGGAGATGAGTGACGGAACGGGATGGAAGCTACCGACTATAAACGCCATCTCACGAACAAACAGGTGGCGATTCCGAAAACTCACATTCGGGAGGTCTGACAGACAGAGCACGGGGTTGTACTAGGGGGAATTTCTAAAGCGGCGTAGATTTTCCTGGTGAGAATTTCGAGCTTTGCGCATGGATTACCGGCAAGGTCAACATGTAATATACGAATTGCCCCATCCATGGCGTTATGGGTGCGGATGTGCAGGTTGCGGACGCGAGGTTGTAGGGTTGGGGTTGCACCTCGGGCTGGACTGAACACGCGCAATGGAGGCGGAGGAAGGCTGCCACAAGTACAATTCTAAGATAAGCATTTGCAACGGCGTTGGGTTTGCAGACTGCGGGTCGCCTAGGTTTAAAGTGAACCCTATGCGACATGATCCTGTGCACGCACGCCACTCGTGGCGTGCACTTCAGCCTGCATCTGTACTACACCCGTTTTCTTTCACAACCTCTGCTTATACATGGACACCTTCCTTTATTTTGCTTATATACTGTACCACATATGCTGGCGTGCGGACGGGCTTGCCTACCGTCCTCACCGTGACGCCTTATGGCTCCGTGTGGGTATGCAACCCGGACGCACGCCTGCATGCGGTACAGTATAAGGAAAATAAAGGAAGGGGTCTGGGGACCACACTGTAGTCGTCCCAGCCAAAGGTCTGCTCGGCTGTTCCCCGAACCCAGACGTACCTTCTGTTCCTTTCCCGTTCCTGAAGTCCACGTCCAATACGACGCCGTTGCCGCCCTTGCCCATTGTGGTTGGTAGTGCTGACCAGGCGCCGGCCTGGTAAGGGGAGGGGTGTTGGTCCGGTGGGGCCTGACGGTGACGGTGGCCTGACGGTGGCCTGACGGTGGCCCGGTGGTCGCCTGGTGGCGGCCCGGTGGTGGCCCGGTGGAGGCCTGGTGGAGGCCCGGTGGAGGCCCAGTGGAGGTAGGGTGGTGACCCGGTGGTGGCCCGGTGGTGGCCCAGTGGTGGCCCGGTGGTGGCCTGAGGGTGCCCCGGTGGCGCTGCGGGGAGGGCCCGGTGCGGGCTGTCCTAGTGCTGCCTAATTAAGACTCCCCCGAGCCGTGGAGGCGCCGCTTTTACGTGTCGACCCCGGCCAGTTTGTTTGCACAGCGTGATACGGTGGGGCTCACCGTGAGGTGAGGTGAGGCACGCCGAGCACGCTGAGCAGGCGAAGCAGGCGCCCGGCAACCCGGCCCGGGGCAACAAGCAAACGGAAGGCTTCCAGTCCGCGTCGCGTCCTGTTGTCGGCTCGACAGCCAGCCGCCGGGTCGGGCTAAGGCCGGGCTGGGTCCGACTACAGCCTGAGCGTGGAGGAGTCCCGGCCAGCCGGGTCAGTCCACCTCACCTTTGGTTTATTTTGAGTGTCATCTTTCCAAATGTAACAAGCAAGAAGCAATGGAAGCTCTAATTTTCATGTTTTTATGTGGTTTTCTGTAAGACGTGTTTTTTCGCGCCAATGGAAATTTGAATAGGAAATTGATAGTGGTCCAAGTCTTATGCCGCAACCGATGTGTCAAAGTAGAATACTTGATACCTAATGGACCTAAGTCTCGGGGTTGCGTCTGTCGGCATCAGTCTCTACCAAACCCTGATAATTGAACCCACATCGTAATCGCTCGACGCGCCGTGAACGATGACGTCGCAGGTAAGGGCCTGCTCGACGTGACTCATGTACAGATTAGGCGTGCGGTTGTGAAACGCTGTAGGGCCCCGCGCTCCTCTAATCACCCGACACAATACACGGACGTGCGGCGGTAGCAGGCGTGCGCCGCGTGCAGGACGCCGCCAGGGTCAGCCTGGGCGCCGCCGGCAAGGACGAGCGCAAGTAGAGGGGGGCTACGTCTAAAAGCTGCGTCCCAGGGGGAGCGCCGCGGAGGTAGGCAACATCCCCGCCCAGCGTGCATCACTGCAGGCGGATTGCCTACCACCCAGGCGCTATGTCCGGCTCCGGCCTCCGGCGCTCCATGGTCCCGCGGGTTATCTTTGAGGATCTGCCTCAATTTCAATGTCATGCGACGTCGGATACCCCCCGCAGTATCAGCACACAAACACACACGCACACGTACACGCACACAAGCGCGCGCGCACACACACACACGAGTGTAGAGTGAAGCAAAGAATCGTCCCCGCGCTACACAAATACACGGCAGTTTTTATTTGGAATTATGTTACAAAATAAATAAACACAACCTCGCCCGACGCCTTCGCACTGTACGGCGAAGCGCTCGGGCCACGAGAAGAGAGCTCTGCTATCACGAATACGGGCGCCACCGTCACACCGACTTTCGGCGAGACTTGTCGTCGCTGCCGCTCGTCACCGTCCCCTCCTGAAACGCGTTGTTGTTGTTGTTGTTATTACCGATGATATGGACGGTCCGATAAGGACGTGGCCGCCACCGCTCATACCTCATGTCGCAGGGGCGTCGACGCGTCCGGTTCCGGATCCTGGTCCTCCTCGTCGGCGTCCTGGGCGGCGCTCTCCGCAGCGGCCGCCGGGGTGGGGTCGGCAGCGGGTGCCACCTCGGGGTCGACCCACGCCAGGGGCAGCGGGTTGAGCTCGCCGTTCTCCATGACTTGGAACAGCGCGGAGTAGCGCGGGGCTTTCTCGGCCACCTCGTCGTAGCTGGGCGGGGGGTCGTCCTGCTGCGACAGCTGCGGGTCATGGCAGGAAGAGGATGAGGCTCTACTCGGCCGGGCTGCACGTCTCGCCGGGGCCCTGGCCGCCGCGCGGGCCGCCCTGGCACCGAGCCCGCTCGTGCCCCGTCTCGTCGCTTCCAGGTTTGGCCGGGGGCAATACCCCGACCTTGCGCATCGCGCGGAGTATTCCCGACAGAAGGGGCAGGCGGAACACAACGCACCGCCGCCCCGGCGCAGCCAACTCGACACTCACCAAACCCGCGTACAAACAACCGACGACCGGCGGCGAGTCGCGTTCAACGGGTGTGTCATAAATCAGGTATTGATCGTGGTCCGGCCGCGCGCTCGACGAGAAGAGGCGGAAGCGCTTTGAACGACTCGGCTCGGCTGCTGTCACCGGCACGACAACGCCACGGCGCGACTTTTGATTCGATCCGCGGAATGCCCCCGAGTGACCCTCACGGGTCACGGGCGGCACGTCGCGATCCTTCCTTTTATTGGAGCGGGCCGCGACGGCGCTCGCGGCGCCCGGCCCGGCCCGGGCGTGACCAATGGCGGCACAGTCATCCTCCGAGGCGTCCGTCGCCGGCGCCGTCGTGTGCCGCGCTGATACATTGCGTAAAAGTGCAATAAAAAGGCACGTAACGGTCACGCTTTGAATCGGATGCGACGGCGGGGGCGGGACGCTGCTCTGTGACGCTGCACATCGGCATTGTTATCGTCGGCGCCGTGGTGGTCACGGCGCGGCGCGTGGCGCGTGAGCAGGGTGCGGTACAATCAGCGTCCAGCTCGTCCAGAAGCACGTATCGGAGGGCTTCTTAATGGCGCGTCTATCGGGAGTGTAGCGAGTAGTGGTCGTTACGGTCGGCGCAAGTTTCGAGTGGGTATCGAAAAGTACCTTTAGATAAAACATCGACATGATAAAAACATCACATTGTTTGTTGATTTTCGAGACGGGACCGGAGTGCGGTGCTCTGCGGAGCGTGACCATGATTTGGTTCACGGTTTGACGTTGTTTGGAGTTGATCTACGTGCTGCCTGGGAGCTCCGAGTAGGTGAGGCTACGTTTAGATCCGGGAAGCAGCATCGATTGACGTCGGACTATGGGAAAAGACGACGCAACGGCTTGCAGCAGATACGTTTGGGTCAGAAATCCGCAGTCATGCCAAAAGTTGCAGTTATGTATCAGTACAGGGAGAGTACAATATCGTTCAGTCAGTGTCACTAGGGGGGGGGGCGGGGACGTCAGCGCAGCAACAGGTAGAGATGGCATCGCGCCTGCCGCCCACCCCACCGCCTTGTTCTGTTCTGGTTCACTCATCGCGCAGCGTTAGCGCAGCGCCAAGCGTGATGCACCTTGGCCTTGCAGATTTGATGTGCTCATGCCGCTGCGTGAAGAGCAAGGCGGTGCCAGGCAGGCGACGCTGGCACGCTAATGGCTCCGACCCGGTCACCTAGAGGAACTCGAAAGGGTCACCATGGCGTCCAATTGGTCTAGGATTCCGGTCAAAACCAAGTCGAAAACGAATATTTACGAGACAAAAATAAATTTGATGTTACTCGTATTTCATTACTTGGGTACACACCGCTAGGGTATCCTCCAGAAAGTACGTCCTTTCTCAGATTCATTCGGCTTGCCGGGAGCTTGGCGCCTGCAAGACTCGTGGTAGGCCACCCCGCAGTACACGCATGCACTCCAAGTGATATGTTGCCTACCCATCTGGCGCTACGACAGCTTGCATAAGCTGAAATTGGCAGGTTCGTAACGGCGAATGACAGACGTACTTTGTGGATGATCCCTGCGCCACCCATCCACAACGCCACCTTCCCTCCCACGCCTTCTGCACCTCTTCTAGATTGATAGCGAAGGGAGTGACGCACCTCGCGGGCCGGGGGCAGTGCACCGCGGCTCTGCGCCGCACGGCGCACCCGGCCCGAAGCACGCCCAGCCTCGCGCCCAGCACAGCAGGCGGGTCCAAGGGGTGCGTCTGAGGCGTGGGAGGGAGAGACACGTCCAAGTACCCGAGTCACTCGAGCCGTTCGGACGTGCGCGGGCGGGCGGCGGCTTGGACGGTCCGTCGCAGATGACTGAGGCCCTCTTACCTTGCTGAGACGCTTCTGCCGCTGGTACACGTCCATGATCTTGATCGCCATGAAGGCGGGGCCCACCACGAGCATAACCCCGCCCACGGTCACCATGACGACAGCGGTGGCGGCGCCCGTGCCTGCCACCCTGGGGATGGCGCCCGCTGCGCCGGGGGCAGAGCCAGGGGCGGCTGGCGAGGGGAAGTCCTCCCTGGGGGCGACAAGGCCGGGGGCCGGCCGCATGGGAACGTACGAGGACCACGACTTCCTCGACACGTCATGGTAGCTGTCCTCGAGGACATCGTCTTCTTCAAAGTCGTCGTCCGCCGACTCGGCCGTCGTTACCTCCGCCTCCTCCTCCAGGACCACGTCATCCGGCGCCGACCCCAACAGCGTCCACGACGGCGGGCTCGTCGAGGGGGTGCTGACGGGCGTGACGGGCGCGGCCACGGAGGCCCGCAGCAGCGCGGCGTCGCGGCGCTTGAGGTTGGTGACGCCGCGGTGCATGAGCAGCGCGCCCACCAGACACCACGCCGCCATCTGCACGCCCACGATGGCCAGCCCCACCCAGTGGCGCGCGCGTCGCCGCCGGGGCAGGCGCCGCGCCGCCTCGTCGTCGGCCACCTCGTCCTCCTCGCGGATGCACGGCATGGGCATGGCCGCGGGCAGCCGCGGGGGCTGCGGTCGCGCGCGCTGCGCCCGGTCCGGCCACTGGTACGCCAGCCAGGTGTACGTGGTGCACATGCTGCCCGCTGCGCCGGGGCCCCGGGGCCCAGCTACGTCCAGCTGCGAGCCGCACTTCTTCGCCGCGCGCCGCGTCTGTTGGGCCTTCGCATTCCTTGCAGGGCAGGGCGGCTGGGCTCCTGGGCTCCTGGCGCAAGGCGGTGGCGCTCCTGCGCGACTGTCCTGTGGGTGGGTCTCGGCCCGGGCCCCGGCCGGGGGCCTCGCGGTCAGTCAGACGCTGTTAATTGGCGACAACTCGGCACAACTCGGTGCGGCGGGGCCGGCGGGGCCGCGGCGGCGCGCGCGGGCTGGACACGACGAGGTGGCGGCCGCTCCCCGGCAGGACCCGCCTGCTCTACATCGCCGTCCTCCCTCGGGAGTGTTGTTTGTTGGGCCGACTGCCAGGCTGACCGCGCGCAGCGGGCAGGCGCGGGCGGGGCGGTCCGGGGCCGCGCTCCTCTCGCTGCAGTCTCACTGGCAGGCCAACGGGCAGGCCACTGGCTGGCCACTGCGGCTGGGGCTGGGCCGGGCCACTGGCTGGTCGCGGCCGCGGCGCTGGCGCTGGCTCGTGGCGCGTCGGGGCCCGCGCTCCACCCCCTGGGAGGGGAGCCCCCCCCCCCCCCTCTGCTCTTAGAATGGCCAGGTGACGCCCCCTCCCACTCCCTTTCATCTTCTGAAAAGGAATAGCCACACGACACGATATGCCGCGACCCACCCCACCCACCTACCTTCCTCCGCCTGTCCATCCGCGATCGACTGCCAATCTTATCGCACATGTCCGATATCAACGATTTTGGGGGATTAGGCTGTGAATATGAGGAAGTAATGTTGTCCTCTCTTAATAAATGAGAAAAATAATATTCTGGAACTTTAATAACTGTTTCAGAACAGAAGAGACAAATCTTATTAGAATAAAAACAATTGAACAGATATGTTAATAGTAGTTTAAAAAATTATAACTGCATATTAAATTAAAACATGTATATAAATTACAGTTCTTTATTTCCTGCAAGGGGTCTTTACTTTACGTTTAACGTTAATGTTTACGTTTTTGGACCCACCCGCATGAAAAGAGTTAACACAGTAAATTTTGTAGTCAGTAAATAAAATCAAACCTTTCAAAGATTTAAAATAGCTTTAAGTGCATTATGGGCAGATTTGTACATTACATACTGATCTATTCCTTTTTCTTTCATGAAGATCCCAAATACAAAAGCAAATGAAGCTTGAGCATCATGTGCTGGAGTAATAGAGAACACGTGGTAAACTGCTACTAAAAACATTAAGGCATCAAGAATTGGTCCACTGTAAATTGATTGTCCGTCTACATAAACATAAACTTCATCAGAACCTCCAAGTGAGAACAGTCGTGGAGGATCACCTCTTTGAGGAAAAACAAACAATGGCAGAATATTATCCTGTAAAGGAAAAAAAATATCAGAATGTTTCCTTAGTTTTATATTTCTTTAAAGCCTCACTTATACTTTGTTTTAATGAAAAATTACCTGGAAAACTTCAAGGACATGACTACTCCTCGTCACAGGTGGTCTCCCCATGCCTTGTTCCCGTCCAAAAAATACTGGGGTTGAGATGGTTTGCAAGATTTCCATAGTAACTAGATCTAAAATGAAGACACATGTGATTATAAGAGTAAAAAGAATTAAATATCACACTGATAACACAATAAATGAAGGTACAGTACCAACAGTCTTTGAGTCATATGTATACTGATCATTAGAACCGCATAAAAAGTATTCTACCATTTGAGGCACAACATCGACCCAATTGTTCTTGAAATCTTCCAGTGAACACTTAAGCTGCTCTTGCTGAATGAACTCCCACAGTACCTGGGCAAATTGACATAATACAGTTTATCACAAATAGTTACATTTTACTGGTACAACAACTGCTGAATTTTAAGAAAAACCCTCTTACAATTTCTGGAATTTCAAGGCATGGGAATTCTTCAATGTGTGTTGCGTAGCTATGACCCTTAGCCAAAATAAGTCTATCTTTCCGAATTGATGACAGAAAGGTTTGCAGCATTGGTAAGGAAGGACCAACCTTTCTCATCTCCTTTTGAATGTGGGCCTTGCAGTTTTCAAACTGCTTGGATGATACAAACACAGCAGGAGCAGGAGCAGGCTTTGCAGCAATAGTAGCTGATGGCTTGGCAGGATTGGAAGAGGTGGTCTTCACAGAGCTGACACTGCTCACAACATTGACAGTGCTGAAATTGTTGGAAATCCTGATGGATTCGGTTCTAGGTACAGGCTTAGTTGGTTTAGGCCCTGGAGCGTTTGGCCTCTTATTTGTACCTTGATGATTCGATTGTTTTTCAATGCTATGTTTTTGGAGAAGATCTTTCAACACCTGGACCATGGCAGCCTACCAAACAAAAAAGACCATTGGTGTCACCCATGAAGAACTGGCAATACACACCTGTTATAGATGTAGGTTCACTTCCACTTACAACATCTTTTTTGTCAGATGGTATAGCTGATACGAGTTCAGGATACTTTTTCATAGTTAGCTTGGCAACTTCAGTGTAGTCTTTTTCAGTCGCTAATTTAAAATTGCACATAGACCAAGAAATCCATCTTAGGACAAAAATGTGATTGCCTCGATCTATGCGTTCACCTTTGCTACTAATTGCAGGCAAATTTGGTAAATTTGTTGGCACACAAAATTCATACAACTCCTCCTATATACCAAGCAAATTAAAAACGTCACAGTTATAGATTAGATTTCATAGAGCTCTGAATATTTAAATAATACTCATTTTTAGCGTCACTTGTATACATACCCGAGGTAAATGAGAAGTTAAGCTTGTAAATGTGGCACTTGACGGCTTTTGAGGTGTGTTCTCTTTGTTCAAATTCCCAGAAAGTCTCTGCATAGGCAGGCCTACCTTATTCATATCCCTAGTGGACAATAAATTGGGAAGAGAACAGCTGTCTTGCTGCCCAGTTTGATTTTGTAGTATGTTACCAGGTTCATCTTCATCATCAGGAATAGTAATAGTTCCATCGTCATCAACTTCATAGACCATCTAGATATTTTAAAAAGAAAGAGGTCAAAGATGCACTCTACTACTAGGAGTACAACTACACATGATCAAAACAACAGAACTACTGAGTACCACCCCATCATGACAAAACACTTTAATTACTGGTTTCAGCCCTGAAAACTTGTTTGGCTGTGATTGCATTCGATATATTCCTTTCTATGAATATTCCAGTACCTACCGAGCTTGAGCCATCATCAATGATATGTATTTCAGGTCGCTGGGGTGGAAATGACTTTTCTCGAACAGCTTTCTCAATTAAGGAAAGATCGTCAGTTGGTTCTAAAGCACAATTTAGATTGAAAAAACTTTATAAATTAGTAAACAATGATGTAAGTACATTTAATAATGTTTCTTATAAAATTATCTGGATGAGTTTGTTACTATACCATCAATCTTTCTATGTTTAGTTGGGAAACAGCCACAATATTGGCACTGAGAACCCTTCTGTGGATCATGATAGTAAGAATCACAGTCTGTACAGCCATCTTCTTCACAGGCACCTCTTTTAATTCCCTTTCGATCAATGGAACTGTTTTTATTTGGTGCGGGTGGAATATGCTGCCAGAAAAAAAAATTATTGAAGAACACTACATCAAAATAAATGGTTAACATGGAAAGGATTGAGGAAATAAACTTGTATAGAATGTCTCAGCTTACCGTTCTGTGTTGCAGTTTGACACAATCTCCAACAACAATTAAACGCATAGTAATAAATGTGTAGAGTTCGATGGAATGAGAGGTAGACTGAAATGACAAATAAAATAGAAATGGGTAAAGCAAGTGCGCAGAAAAGGTGAAGATGTCTAATTAGACCTCAACGTCGACAAGTACGTGTAAAATTGATGTAAAGAACGAACGATCATTAAAGCAAAAGATCAGAAAATAGTTTAAAAGGTATAAAATTGGGTATTTGCATGTATTTGTTAGTAAACAATGTACCTTGAAAGTGTTCCAACAGGCAGAGGAGGTTACACCAAAATGAATGTATTTTTACTTTCTCCCAAGGAATTCTCTGAAATGATTGTCGTTTAGTAACTACGTCACTTTCAAGCCTTCTCCAATAAAATCAGAGATGAATCTCGTGGGATTTTAATGACAGCTCCTTTGTTCCGAATAAGACGTGTTACCATCTACACACCAAACGAATCAAAACAAACCCCCAGCCCAAGGAATACGCGCGCCAATGAAGGACCGAGAATATTCTCATACCGGAAATCGTATGTGGATTGCGCCTACAAATTCAAATCATGCGCTAAAGAGGCAGTTAATGCTGCACGCTTCGGTCTCGGTCCTAGGGTATGAAGGCATAAGCCATGTTGATGATCTGGAAGTAAGACAATGTCTGCCGAGTAGATATTTTTATTGTCGAATTTAAAATGGACAAAAACTCGCTCAGGGGGCGTTGTTTCCCATGGTGCTCGCGATCCAGTCGATGTAGGCGGAGACCCTGGTGTAGACCGAGGGCTTTCCTCCCCTGCCGCAAGGCACGAATCCCCAGGACACGATGCCGACCACGGTCACAGCCTCGTCATCCTCGCTGCTCTTCAGGATGAGAGGGCCGCCGCTGTCCCCCTGCAAAGTTCAACAGACGATACGTCAGACTCGTGTCCAGTGTCCGGAGACAGCCAGTATGGTCAGAGTGCCCGGCCCAACAAGGCAAGGTAAAAGCGTATAGCTCCACGTTAGCGAGGCTCACACTGCAGGCGGAAGTGCTGCCACTCGGGCCCGCGCCGGTGCACACGTTGGTGTCGGCCAGGGTGCTGTGGCTCCAGGTGGGGAGGTTGGCGATGATGGTGGTGTTGCAGGACTGCAGGTCGATCACGGGCACCGTCATCTTGTGCAGGTCCTTGGTGCCGGGGAACATGCCGTTGTTGACGTAGCCCCAGCCTGACAGCTTGACTTCACCTGCGGAACAAACAGGAGGAGCGATGGTTGTGTGCTCGCGGCAGGAACGGGCGCCTGCTGGCTAGGCAACCCATCGAACCGGGGTGCACGGGGGGCTGCCTATCGCGGCGAGGGCGGGCGCCCTCCACTCACCCGAGGGAACGCTATCCGGCGAGGGCAGCTTGGCGGCCTTGACGAGGGGCCCAAGCACAAGAGGCTCAGTCGTCCTCAGGAGAGCAATGTCGTAGGGCTTGACCTCCCCGTCGTACTTCTCGTGCACGATGAACAGGTCGGTGGGCACCACCTGCCCAGCTTTCTTGTCCTTGGTGCGGATGCTGTTCACGCCGGCCACGACGAACACCTGGCCGCCCAGCTTGCAGTGTCCCGCCGTCAGGATCCAGCGCTCGGAGAGGATAGTGCCTCCGCAGAAGTGCTCGGTCCAGCTCCAGAAGAAGAGCGTCTGCTTCCTGGAGGGCGAGAGTGTGGATCCGTGAGATGGCACGAGCCCCCC